TGATGGTGCTACATATTGCTAAAACATTGGAAACTGAAAACATAAGTTTCAAAATGCATTTAAGGGTTGGAATGTGGTGGCACACACCTTTAATCCCAGCAATTGGGAGGCAGAAGCAAGTGGAGCTCTGTGAGATCGGGGTCAGCCTGTTCTACACAGAAGTTCCAGCTGGGGCTACAGGGAGAGTCAGTCTTTTTTTTTTTAATTATTTATTATTTTTATTTTATGTGTATGTGTGTATTGCCTGCATGTATGTAAGTGCACCCATGTCATTCAATGCCTGAAGAGGTCAGAAGAGGCCATTGGATCATGGATGGTTGTTAGCCACCCTGTAGTGTTCTTAATCAAAGGAACATGTGAAGTCTCTCTCTCCCTGAAGTTTCTGCATAATGTAGCAGGAAAACAGCTGTTCTTTAATTTATTCCTACTTTAGAATTTAGTTACAAAGGCATAATTTTGTCACACAACAGTAGCCAAGAGTGAAGAGAGTGATATTCAAGATTTTCACAATAGGGAGACACTATTAAAAAAAAATAAAGACAGTAGGGAAGCACTGAAAGCTTTAGGACAAAGAAATAATATTACCAATACCTATAATTCTAATATAAAAAATTTTTTGGTCTTTTTGATACAGGATCTCCCTGTAGCCCCAGCTGGCCTAGAACTCGCTATGTAGACTAGGCTAGCCTTCAACTCACAAAGATTTGCCTGTCTCTGCCTCCCAAGTGCTGGGATTGAAGGCATGTGCTACCATGCCTGGCATAAATCTTTATTAATAAAACAATAGGAGCCTGGAGAGATGGTTTAGCAGTTAAAAGTACTGGCTGCTCTTGCAGAGGACCTATATTCAAGTCTCAACACCTACATGGCAACTAACAACTGTCAGTAACTCCAGTTCCAGGAGAATCTGACACTCTTACCTCAGGCATTGCATGACATGGGTACACTTACATACATGCAAGCAATGCGCTCATACACAGAAAATAATAAAAATATTTTTTAAATAATTTTTTAAATTAAATAAAATCTGGGCATGATGGTGAATGCCTTTAATCCCAGCACTGGGGAAGCAGAGGCAGGCGGAACTCTGTGAGTTTGAGGCTAGCATTGTCTATGTAGCAAGCTCGAGGCCAGCTAGGGTTACAAGGAGACCCTGTCTCAAAAAGACCAAAAAATTTTTTAAATAAAAATAAAACATAATAAGTGAGCAAATATTTCACGCTGGGCAATCAGAATCCATCAGGTAATACTTTTTTCATTTCTTGTTTTTTGGTTGTCTGTTTTTGTGTTTTACAACGCTAGAAATTGAACTTAGGGTCTCACACATTTGCACATGCTACATAAACATTATCCCACTGAGCTACAACCCCAGCTTTTTTCGTTGTTTTTTTCTTTTGCGACAGGGTCTTACTAAATTGCTTACACTGGCCTTGAACACACTCTGTAGCCCCTAGGCAGGCCTTGAACTTGTGATCCCTCTGCCTCTGCCTCCCAAGTAGTTGGGTCGATAGGCTTGCACTATAGGCCTAGCTTCATCTAATATTTCACTTGCTATTTATGTACAAAAATTAAGTTCCAGAGTCTTGGAGGAGACTTGTGGAAGTAGGAGGCACTGAAGCCTGAAGCGTGTTTCCACAGCCTCTTAGTATCTGCTGTTCTTTGATAACTGAGGGTTATGAAAGAGATAAATTATCTCAAGTTTACAGTGTCACTGAGGAGAAAGAGCACGGCTATTGAACAAACAGGCTTTATGTAGCATGTAAAATTTGTGTGTGGCAGGGGGGCTGGGAATTAAACCCTGGGCCTCATGCATGCTAAGGATGTACTTTCTACCACTGAGCTATACTCTTAATCTCTAGGGGGTGAAAATTTTTTAAAGAAACTTGGAGTAAGATTTTTAAAAGAGAAGAGTCGGGTTTTGATGGTGCTTAGGGATGAAATCCAGGGCCTTGTGCATGCTCGACAAGATACCACTACTAGACTATAACCCCAGCATGGGAGGTTGGGATAGTTTGTTTGTTTGTTTGTTTGTTTGTTTAAAGGAGATAGGTTTTATTTTGGCTTACAGTTCCAGAGGGATAGAAGGAAGCCATGGCAACAGACAGGGAAGATGTGGTGACAGGAACAGGAAGCTGGTTGCTCACATTGCATCCACACTCAGAAACAGAGCTGTTTGTGTTTTGAGACAGGGTCTCCTAGCTCACATTTCTACCTCAGCATCAGGTTACATTACAGGTGTGAATCACCATGCCTGACTTAATGCTGAAAACTCTCAAATTTATGTCTCCAGTCCAGAATTTTTATCTTTTAAAAAATGTTATTATTTTCTTTAAATTTTATGTGTATGTGCCGGGTGTGGTGGCACACACCTGTAGTCCCAGCACTTGGGAGGCAGAGGCAGGTGGATCTCTGAGAGTTCAAGGCCAGCCTGGTCTACATAGTGAGTTCCAGGACAGCTGGGACTACAGGGAGACCTTGTTTCAAAAAGACAAAAAATAAATAGTAAATAAATTTTATCTGTATGATTTTGCCTGCATGTATGTAAGTGCACCACATGCATCCAATACCCACAGAAGCCAGAAAAGGATGTGGGACCCCTGGAGCTTGAGTTACAGATGGTTGTTAGCTACTACGTGGATGCTGGGAATCAAACTGGGGTCCTCTGAAAGAACAGCAAGTGTTCATAATCACTGAGCCATCTCTCCAGACCCAAGTCCAGAGTTTTTCTTCAAACATGCAGATTTATAAAACCAACTTGTCCCTTTGATTATTCCACTTAAAGAGCTCAGAGACATCTTAGGTCATAATCTGAAAAATTAAACTCTTAGGGTCAGAGTTGCAACTCTGTGGTAGAGGGTTTGCTTAATGTATTGAAGGCCCTGTGTTCCACTCCCAGCACCGCAAGGAAAAAAAAACAACCAAAGTCTTAGACGTCTCCACTAGAAAAGCTCCTCCACTTTCATGGGGAGCGTATTTAATTCCTCCTCAGTTACCTGGAAATCATCATGTCTCGTTCCTCTCCCTGCCTCCATGTCAAATTCATCAACAAATTAGGTGATTTCTATCTCCCAAATATATCTCCAACACATGTCTCCAGGGGCCACCACAATAGTCCTGCAGCAAAATCCTAACAGACTGTCTTTTTTTTTTTTTTTTTTGGTCTTTTTGAGACAGCATCTCCCTGTAGCCCCAGCTGTCCTGGAACTCACTATGTAGACCAGGCTGGACTTGACCTCACAGATATCCGCCTGCCTCTGCCTCCCAAGTGCTGGAATTAAAGGCATGCGCCACCACGCCTGGCCTGTACTTTTCTTTTTTAAAAAAATATTTTATTTAAGCTGGGCCTGAGTTCAAGGCCAGCCTGGTCTACATAGTGAGTTCCAGGACAGCTGGGACTACAGGGAGATCCTGTTTCAAAAAGACCAAAAAAAAAATTTTTTTTTTTTTTTTATTTTGTGTGTATGAACGTATTGCCTAAAAGTGTGTTAAGTGTACCGCTGTCATGCAGTGCTTGAAAAGGGCGTTGGAGTCCCCTGGAACTGCAGTTATGGATGGTTGTTAGCCACCACGTAGGTGCTGGGAATCAAACCCAGGTCCTCTACAAGAGCAGCTGGTGCTTTTAACCACTGAGCCATCTCTCCAGCCCTAACAGAATGTACGTTTCTATTCCTGTCCCCTCATTCATTTGCTACATAAAGGCCAAACATTCCTGTTTTTTTTTAAACATGCAATAATTTAACTTCAGGGATGTCAAGACAATCTTTTAATGATGCAAATCAGATCATTTCCCTCTTTCCTTAAAACTTTAATTAGTTCCCATGGCACTTTGAATAAAATTTGAATTCTTACTCCTCAGGAGTCTTTGTATACTCCTGGCCCTCTGCCTAGGGGCTGAGCCCTGGTCCAGAAACTATATAAACTGTGTGAGCCAAAAGAAAAAAGTCTGGACATGGTGGTGCACAACTTTAATCCCAGCACTTGGGAGGCCTACTATTTTAAAATTTCAATTTGTTGGCTACAATATGAAATTGGTCCCTTAAAGACAATCTTTTCAGTCCTTCTCCTGACTGGTGCCTTCTCCATTAAGTGCTCAAAGTATCATCTCCTTAAAGGGACTGTTAAAACCAGTCCATTAAAGTTGCTCCTCTTCCAACACAGAGGTGGAGCCTTATATCCTCTATAACATCCGTAATTATCTTTTGTATTAGTCTAACAAACGTCGTTTGAGCAGGCCTAGGCTATCTAAGGAGAACCTGTCTCAGAAACAAAAGAAAAATCACTGAAGCTGTAAATATTCGAAGGAGAACTTTACATTGTTTTGTTTTTTGAGGTCTTTCAACAGGCTTTCTTGTAGCTCAGGCTGGACTCTCAATCGTGTAGCTGGTTTACGAATCCTAATCCTCTCATCTGGGTACAGGGGTTATAGGAGGGAGTCATCACACCTGGCGTCCAAGGTCTGAACATAGCACTTCCTTCTGACGTCCCTGTGGACTTGGGAGCAGAGTCAAAAACTGCCTCAAAACTGGGTGAAAAGAACCAAGAGGAGCATGTGGCTCTCAGATCCTGGGTTCACACCTGCCCCTCCCGGAGACCACGACAGCTTCCCGAGCCTTCCAGTCCTCAATTCAATGGGTCAGAGGCTCGGATTTCATGGGCCTCAGGATAATCACTCCAAAGGAGGAGAGCACCAACCGATAAGACCACCTGCCACTCATGACGAGGCGGGGGCGGGGGTGCCTCCTGGGAGGGCTCTGCGTTTTCCTGAAGCAGAGGGCAGCAGAAGAGGCTTCGTGCTACTCATGAGGGGGCGGGGCCTACTCCCGCGGGGTCTCCTGGGAGGGCTCTGTGTATTCCTGAAGGAAGACGGAAGAGCGAGGCTTCTTGCTATTCATAAGGGGGCGGGGCCTCCTCCCGCTGGGGCTCCTGGGAGGGTTCTAAAATGTTCTTGAGGCCACAGGGGGCGCTCGAGAGCCGAGAACGCGGCTCAGAAGCGAGCGCAGCTGGCGGGAAATACCTGTGGTGATTGTCCTTGTTAGACATTTCGAAATTTGAGGATGGTGGGGCAAGGCGACTAAATCCCATTTTCCTGTGATTCTGTAGTCGGAAACTGTCGAATTCTGTGGTAAAAAGTGTTTTTTTCTTGCGCAGTCCTCCTTTGTGGAAATAGTCTTCATGAACGGAGGGTATGGCTTCATCACGTGGTGACGTGGGCCTCGCAGGGTCGGGAGGAACATCTGAGCAGTTAAGGTTTATTTCATTAGAACAGACCTCGAGGATTGCTGTCGTTTTTTCCTCCGAAAGGGGGTGTGGGACAGGGAAGCCCATGCCGCCCCCACTTCACGGATGGTCTATAGTTAGGGATTGGACTCGGACCTTGAAACTTGTCTTTGTTGTTGTTCGGTTGGTCTTTTTGTGACAGGGTCTCCCTGTAGCCCCGGCTGGCCTGGAACTTGCTATGTAGGCCAGACTGTCCTCGAACTCACAGACCCACCTGCTTCTACCTCAGCGCTGGGAATGAAGGCGTGCGCCAATGTGCCAAGCCCACGTTAAATTTCTTAAACCAGTGGAGGTGGCACAGGCTGTCATCCCAACTATCAGGAGACTGAGGCAAGAGGATCGAGAGGCTGAGGCCAGCCAAAAAGAAGAAATTATTATATTACTCTCGTTTTGGTTTGTGAATTAATTTCATGGTCTGGAAGGGCAAGAGGAAACAGAAACCGTTTGAATAGAGTACCTTGAGGATTTTCAGGAAAACCTGCCCTCCCCTGCCCCTAAAATATCCGGGTTGAGTAAGGAACATGAGACAGGAACTTTAAAATAATTGGAGTCCGTTATTTTTTTAGTCCCAGCAGAGGTTTAAAAGAAAAACCACACACAGGCACGCACATGCCCTTAGTGGTTGATAAAGTCACCTGGGAGGGAGTGCTCAGCAGGTCTTTGAAGGGCCCACAGACTCTTCAAACTTTATATAGTTTCTGGGAGAAACAGTACAAAGTGGAATTATTTGTAGATATTAAAATACTTGCAGAAATATAGGTATTGACATGGAATTGTAACAAGATTATGAAATAGTATACTACCCTCTTTTTAATATTTTATTTATTTTTTAAATTTTATGTGTATGAGTGTTTTGCCTGCGTGTGTGTATTGCCTGTCATGCAATGCCTCAGAGGTGTTGGATTCCCTGACAGTTGTTAGCGGCCAATGCGGGTGCTCTGGGAATCGAACCCTGGTCCTCTGCAAGAACAGCTAGTGCTCTTAACTGCTGAGCCATGGCTCCAGTCCCCCTCTTTTTATTGAAAAGGAACACATATATACACAACAGTTCACAATGATATAAACACAACAATACATAAGTGAATTTAGTTTTCTTTCATTTAGCCATATTTTGTAAACATTTGACACCTTACTTGGTAATTGTAATAATTTTTTTCTTTGTTTTTTGTAATTTGAGACTGGGTCTCCCTGTAGCACCAGTGGGCCTGGAACTCCTTATGTAGACCAGGCTGGCCTCCATCTCACAGAGATCTGCCTGCCTCTGCTAGGATTAAAGGGGTATGCCATTACACCCAGCTATGGTATCGTTTTTTGTTGTTTTGGTGTTTTTTTGTTTTTGGCTTTTTTGAGACAGGGTCTTACTAAGTAGGCCTGGCTGGCCTCCATCTCACACAGATCCACCTCCTGAGTGCTTGGATTAAAGGCATGGGCCACCAGGCAGGACCTGTGGTTTTGGTTTTAAATTTCTTCACCATATTTTCAAGTTTGTAACTAATTTTGAATTGATAATAAACTGAGATTTAACCTTTCAATGTGACAATGTAAGTAACAATGTGATTTTTAGCTAGGAAAGGAAAAGGTATGTTTTGGTCAGTTACATTGTAGCTCTGATAGAATGTCTTAGTTGTTACTTCAGAAATAAGGAACCTTAAATTGAAATTCTACACATATCTACAAGAAAGAATATATGGTTTTCTATCTAGAATAATAAAGTGACACAAAACCAAGATATGTGATGAATAATATGTTTTTAAGGAATTATTACTTAGTGTAAGTAAATAATCAGAGGTTTTTTGTGGTTTTTTTTTTTTTTGGTCTTTTTGAGACAGGGTTTCCCTGTAGCCCCAGCTGGCCTGGAACTCACTATGTAGACCAGGCTGGCCTTGAACTCATAGAGATCTGCCTGGGTCTGTCTATAAAATCAACTTGTATAGGTAGAAGTCTTTCCTAAGACTTATGAGTGACAGGTAATAACAGAAACTTAAACTGAGGAAATTATATTTATTCACCTTTTTATGCTACCCTTATTAATTTTACAAAACTTTAATTTTAAACAAGTGTAGTGCTATACACCTTTAATTACAATACTTAGAAGTTTGAGGCCAGCCTAAGCTATATACTAAACTCTATCTCCATATCCCCTTCCCCCCCCAAAAAAAAATCAATAGAAATTTCAAAAAAAATTTAACATCAGTGCTTATTTGTGTATTATTTAGCACACAATTAGCAACATTATTACCACCAATTTAATCTGTTAGAAATGATACATTTAAATGATTCTAAATTTAAAGTGTCTGTTTTGCTTTGCTTTTAAGGTTTCTAACAAAAGACTGTCAGTACTCAGTTTTAATGAAATATAAAAATATTACTATAAGTAAAGCTACACTAATACTTTAATATTTTTAGACCATAAAAATTATAAAAGTGGGGCTGGAAATATGGCTCAGCAGTTAAGTACACTTATTACTCTTGGAGAGGACCTGGGTTTGGTTACCTGTACCCACATGGCAGCTCACAACTGTCCATAACACCAATTCCAGGGATTGGAGTTAAGGCCTCTGTGGATATTGCGCACGAGTGCACTTACATACATGCAGGCAGGACACGCATACAGATAAAATAAATAAAGGAAAAAATGTTTAATTGGGTTGGAGAGATGGCTCAGTGGTTAAGAGCACTGGCTGCTTTTGCAGAAGACCAGGATTTGATTCTTAACACTAACAGCTGTCTGTAACTCCAGTTCCAGGGTATCTGATATCCTCTTCTGACCTCTGTGGGCACTGCAGGACACGGATGCACCTACCTACATGCAGGCATTACAGTCATACACATAAAAACAATAAAATTTTTTAAAAATTGTTTAATTGTAGCCAGGCATGGTGGCACACACCTTTAATCCCAGCACTTGGGAGGCAGAGGCAGGGAGATTTCTGTGTTTCAGACCAGCATGGTCTACATAGCAAGTTCCAGGTCAGCTGGGGCTGCAGGGAGACCCTGCCTCAAAAAGACGAAAAAAAAAATGTTTAATTGTAAAAGAAACATAGTAAATAATAGGGTTTATATTATGGGTTTTGTTGTTTTAATTTTGTAGTGCTGGGAATTGACCACAATTATTCAAATATCAGGCAAGTACTCTATCACTGAGCTATACCCCTCTCCTGATATTTCATATAATCTGTTACATTGGCTTTTTGTGCCATTTTTTTCTTCTTTTCTACCCTCCCCCTGCCACAATGTTCCTTCTTAATATGTATCAGAATTCATGATTGAACCATGAATTCAATTTGCAAAAGGATTTAGTTTTTACTCTCCTCTATATGTCTGCCCACAAGCTAAAAAAAAAGCTTTTACTTTTTTCTATTTTGCCTTTTTCTTTTCTTAGAATACATCTCAACCAATTACATGTTTCATTTCTTTGTTGTTTTTTTTTTCAGAAGATTTTTTTTATTTTATGTGAGTGTTTGCGTATATGTATGTGCACTTCATTCATACCTGGTACCTGCATAGGCCAGAAGAGGGCATCAGGTCCCCTGGAACTGGAGTTACAGATGGTTGTAACCCACCATGTGGGTGCTGAGAACACATACCAGCCTCAGTAAGAGCGAAGTGCTCTTTATTGCTGAGTCATCTCTCAGCAGGGTTAGTTTTTCACACAAGGGCACATACAGCCCTGCCTGGTCTTAAACTTGAATTTCTGATTCTCCTGCTGTCACACCTAGTTTTAAGTGTTTCATTTCTTACTAAAAGTTTTATTCTATCAAGAGTATTTTTGAAGGCCGGGTGGTGGTGCTCCCCTTTAATCCCAGCACTAACTCGGGAGGCAGAGGCAGGCAGATCTCTGAGTTCAAGGCCAGGCTGGTCTATATAGTGAGTTCCAGGACAGCTGGGGCTACAGGAAGACGCTGTTTCAAAAAGACCAAAAACACCTGGGCGTGGTGGCACATGCCTTAGTCCCAGCACTCGGGAGGTAGAGGCAGGTGGAGCTCTGTGAGTTCAAGGCCAGCCTGGTCTACACACCAAGTTCCAGGTTAGCTGGGGCTACAGAGAGACCCTGTCTCAAAAAGACCAAAAAAAAAAAAAAAAAAAAAAAAAAAAAAAAAAAAAAAAACAGAAAGTTTTCAACACCTTTAATCCCAGCACTCAAGAGGCAAAGGCAGGCACATCTCTCTGAGGTGGAAGTAAGCCTGGTCTGCATAGCAAGTTCCAGGCTAGCTGGGGCTACAGGGAGACCCTGTCTTTAAAAAAAAAAAAGAATATTTTTGCCAGGTGTAATAGCACACGTCTTTAGTCCCAGTACTGGGGAGGTAGAGGCAGATGGATCTCTGAGTTCAAGGCCAGCCTGGTCTACATAGTGAGTTCCAGGAGCTACAGGAAAATCCTGTCTCAAAAAAAATTTTTTTTTCAGTCAAGAGGCATTAGGAATTAAAACTTTTTCAAATAATGCTGAGATAAATAGACTTATTGGTGGGTGCTCCGTAGTTAGACATCATAGTCAATATTTTATAATGTGGAAAGACAGGTATTACCCATTGAAGTGTAAACCTTGAGCTGGGACTGTAGCTCTGTTGATAGACTGCTTGCATGGCATGCACAAGGCCCTATGTTTGAGCTCCAGCTGCACAAGAGGAAAATAAAAACGAAAAGTGTGGCTCTCTTCATTAAGAAACAACTGTTCTTCACTGTTTTAATTTCCTTTCTTTGTATCTTGTACTTTTTTTTTCTGACCAGGATAAATTCATTGGATAAGAAGAGATGTCATCTAGAATAAATACCAGTTTCTCTTTGATTCCCAACCAGAAATATAAACGTGCTAATCATCAATCAAGCTGTTTTCCCAAGACCCTTAATTCAAATTCTCAGCCCTTATCAACTCTTGGAAATTTTAAAGTCTTGCCATTGGAACTATTCCACATAATTTTAAGATATTTGTCAGGTGAGGTTTAGAAGCTATTCATAAGTTGCATAAGACATTAGACTATAATAGCTTTCCCCAAGTATTAGTTTGTTGTCTTAATTTCTGCTAAAATGTTAGCATGCATGTTGAGTTTATTTTCTAAAGTTCCACCACTCCTCTATCTTATGACTAGAATTAAGGGTAAAGTTTCCATTGTTGTTAGGTGAAAGGTACAATCTCTCTCTCTCTCTCTCTCTCCCTCTTTTACATGGATGAATACTATTCTCTCTCTCTCTCTCTCTCTCTCTCTCTATCTATCTCTATCTCTCTCTTCCTTTCTCTCTTTAGTACACTACAAGAAGCAGGGGGTTTGGCAGTAACATGAGTACTGCCTTCCATTATGTTCAAACTCTGTAAAGCACACTGTAGGCCAAATACAGCACACACCTTTAATCCTAGCATCCAGGAGGCAAAGGCAAGAAGATCATAACTACCAGGCCAGACTGAGCTACATCAAGATCCTGTCTTTAAAACACACCATTTCTAAGTTCTTTAAATGATAATGGTGTGGTAACTTTTTATTTCCCAATATGTTTCTAATTACTGAGAACCAGATTTAAAACAATTTAAAGATTTTTTTTTAACAACTAGGTTGGTTTGTTATTTTTGGTTTGTTTAAACAGATTTTCACTGTGTAGCCAAGGCCACTCTGGAACTTACTCTGTAGCCTAGGCTGGCTTCAAATTCATGACAAGTTGGCTCACTCAACCTCCCAACTGCTGAAATTACAAGAGCCACCATGCCTGGCACTGATTTTATTATTAATCAGTTGATTTATAAGCTAATCGACTGTAATAATAGTGATACTTTTGTATTTAAGTAATTTGTATTTGTTAACATACATTAACAGACTATTATTAATGTTTTTGTATTAAATCATTTGTACCTACATTTCTTTTCGGTAGTGAAGGATATTGGCATGTTAAGCATGGTGTCCAAAACAGTCAGCCAGCACATTATTAATTATATCTCAACCACATCAGGAACTAAAAGACTTTTACTACAGAACTTTCATAACCTTGAACTGCCTGACACAAAAGAAGACACAGTTCTACTGGAGTACTACAGAGCTCTAGGTAATTTGTGAAATGAAAATTACAACAAAAAAAGAATAATCTTAACAGGATTTTATTATACAATTTTGTAAGGCTAGTGACTCATAGAATATTTCCTAGAAATTTGATCTTTTTTTCTGTGGCATTTTTATTGTTCAATGTAATCAGAAGTTCAAGGTCATAGGGAGTTTGAGGCCAGCTTCATGAGAACCTACCTGAGGGGGCAAAAAAAACAAGTAAATAAATAAATAAGAAAATGTTCTTTTTTAAAATTTTATTTTGAAAATGTTCTTTAATGTGAAGTGCCTGTCCTTGTGATTTCACATATATACAGTGTAATCTATGCTTACTGTTAGGTTAACAGCTTAGGGAATGGGTATGTTTTCTATGTGTTTTACCTTTATTTCTTGTGACTTAGTGAGTTTCATCTCTAACCTTGTATTTCCTTTCAACCATAATCTAGTCCTTAAAAATATAAATTTAAGCTGGCGTGGTGGCACATTCCTGTAGTCCCAGCACTTGGGAGGCAGAGGCAGGCGGATCTCTGTGAGTTCAAGGCCAGCTTGGTCTATACAGTGAGTTCCAGGACAGCTAGGGCTACAGAGGTACCCTGTCTCAAAAAGACCAAAAAAAAAAAAAAAAAGAGAGAGATGGCTCTCACAGAGCACCCAGGTTCAATTCCCAACACTCACATGGCAGCTGACAACCATCTGAAACTCCAGTTCCAGGGCATCTGACGCTGTCTTGTGACCTCCTGGGGTATTACACGGCATGGGTATACCTACCTACGTGCAGACAATACATTGGTACACATAATTTATATATATATATATATATGTATATACACATTATTGTGGGAAGATATTATTCTCTTAGCAGAATCTATTGTTTTCTTTATTGCTTTTTTTTCTTTTTTTTGAGATAGGGTGCTGGCTGGCCTGGAACTCACTATGTAGAGCAGAGCAGCCAGTTTCTTTTCTTTTTTTTTTTTTCTTTTCACTTTTTTTCTTTCTTTTCGTTTTTGAGACAGGGTTTCTCTGTAGCCCAGCTGGCCTGGAACTCACTATGTAGACCAGGCTAGCCTCAAATTCACAGAGAGCCTCTGCTTTCTGAGTGCTGGGATTAAAGGCATGTACCACCATGCCCAGCCAGTTTTCTTTTTTTAACAACTCTACACATTTACTAATAAATTATTATGCTATATAGTGACCTTATCAAAGGAAATTCTATATCATCTTTCTTCCCTTTATATACATAATCAGCTTATATCTTTTATTTCATTCATTTATTTCATTTCCCCTAGAATGTTGAAATAAAATCCTAATTTCAACTTGATTAATGACACAAATTAACTATGAAACTACTTTATAATTAACCAAAGCATGGCAATAAAACCAAATATCAGATGATGTTGGAATTTAAATAGATATACAGTAGTAAGTTGAGTGCACATTGACTTTTAGAAGCACATGACTACCTAGCTTTAAGACAATAAAAATTGTAGTAATATATAAATACCTCAAAGTATATTTAATAAAGGCAAACGAGCCAGGCCTTGTGGTACAGTCCTATAATCTCAGCTGAGAGGTTAAGACAGCAGCATTGTGAATTTAAGGCCTGCCTATATGACCGTTCAAGGCCAACCTAGGAGACTCTGTCTCAAATTTCTTTAAAAAAAAATTTAACAGCAGAGCATTTCTTATCATACATGGGGTGAGGACCTAGGTCCAATGTCTAGCAGTACAAAAACGAGAAGGGAGGGAAATTGATTTATAAGTTAACAAAACAAAAAGAAGAGGAAGGAAGGAAGGAAGGAAGGAAGGAAGGAAGGAAGGAAGGAAGGAAGGAAAGGGAGGGAGGGAGAGAGGGAAGTTGATTTATAAGTTAACAAAACAAAAAGAGAAGAAAGGAAGGAATGAAAAAGGAAAAAGAAAAAGAGAGGAAGATAGTCTGAATACAGTGTTTGTTGCTGGTTTCATTGTTTATAAGACTTGGAACCAAATAGGGCAACTACTTGGGTCTTTTGGGTTTGGTCTGAAGGAATTTCTTTTTTCCTGATCAAGTCTCAACTGCTTAAGCAAACTCAATTACACTGACTGGGAATAGAGCTTAGTGGTAGAGCACTTGCCTAGCTTGTTGTGCCCCAAGCCTGTAATGCTAGCACTTCAGAGGTGAAGACAGGAGGAGAATCAAGAGTTCAAAGCAAATCTCAGTCACACAGTGAGTTTGAGGCCAACCTGGGTTACCTGAGACTCTGTCTTTTTTTTTTTGCTGTTTTTTTTTATTGTTCCTTTTTTTTTTTTTTTTTTGGTCTTTTTGAGAGAGTGTCTCCCTGTAGCCCCAGCTGGCCTGGAACTTGCTATGTAGACCAAGCTAGCCTCACACTCACAGAGATCTGCCTGCCTCTGCCTCCCAAGTGCTGGGATTAAAGGTGTGCAACTGTCATACCTAGCATGAGACTCGGTCTTAAAAAAAACAAGTAAGAAGACCCTGAGTTATATTCCTAGCATCTCACTGAAAACAAACAAAAAAAGATAACTGTATGGATAATTCACTTTTAAAATATAGATATTGGCTTTTTTTTTCTTTTTAAACAGGGTCTCCTTGTACTCCCAGCTGACCTGGAACTTACTATGTAGATCAGGCTGGGCTTGAACTCACAGAGATCCTCCTGCCCCTGCCTCCCAGGTGCTGGGACTAAAGGCATGTACTACCACACCCAGCTGGTACTGATCTTAATACCTAGCTTTTTAAGAAAAAATTTTGAGTTATTTATTTTTATTTATGTATATGAGTGTTATGCGTGTATGCATGTAAGTACACCTATGTCATGCAGTGCCAGCAGAGATCAGAAGAGGGTGTCAGATCCCCTGGAACTGGAGTTACATACAGTTGTTAGCCTCCATATGGGTGCTGGGATTCAAACCTGTGTTCTCTGTAAGAACAGCCAGTGCTCCTAACCACTGAGCCATCTCTCTAGTCCTTAATACCTACCTTCAATGATGATTAATGTATTAACATTAATTTTACATTCACTCTTTTTGTAGACACCTGCTTTATGGTTGATTCTCTGGGTAAATGTTAGCTGTACTCACCATTTTCCTCTACTGTCATTTCCTATTTGATTTATTCCTGTTTTCAGATATTAAGATAACATTTTCAGAATCCTACACTTAGAAGATTATAAATTTCAATTTGCATTTTCCTACAGAACAGAACAGATGGCCAGTGTATGAAGTATAGTACATCTGATTCTATTTTAGTTGGAAGAACTTAAAGAAGTTGGTCTCCATAAAAGAGTACCTGTGTTTAGAAAAAAACAGTCTACAAAATATAGAGGTTTTATGGTAAACTGGAACCCTTAAAAATAAGACATTTGCAGTAGAAAAGGCAACCAGTGTATAATTGTAGCTTACAGTCCCAACTACTATATAACATGAGACAGGATGCCAAAATATGAAAGGGAAAGAACTCAGTCTGAAATCAAACACTGAAAATAACTTTTTATATACAAAAATGAGGAAGGTTTATGTTTAAATGTCAATTCTGGTCATGTGTTGCCCAAACATAGCAACTTATAAAAATAAAGTAGATTCCTATAGATTCCTCAGAATTATATAATTATTTATTTATTTATTTATTGGTCTTTTTGAGACAAGGTTTCTCTGTAGCTACAGCTGGCCTGGATTCCTTATGGAGTCCAGGCTGGCCTCAAACTCACAGAAATCCACCAGCCTCTACCTCCTGAGTGCTGGGATTAAAGGCATGCACTACCATGCCTGGTGTCAGAACTATATAATTCTTTTATTATGTGAAATGTAAATGCTGAGAAGATAAAAACTGAAGAAAGTGGTGATATTCAAGTATATCTTTCCCTACCATGCACATCGTTTCTAGTTTAAGGACATTTGTCCTTGTAGGTTAGCAATGCATTGACATTTTAGGAAAACAGAGGGGCTGCAGAGATGGCTCAGTGGTTAAGAGCACTGGCTGCTGTTATACAGGACCAAGGTTTGGTTCCCAACACCTACAACACTAATACTCTCCTTAACTACAGTTCAGGGGATGCCTTCTTCTGGCCTCCATGGACACTGCACTGCATGGGTGCATTTCCACACACGCATGCAAAACACTCATACACATAAAATAAAAACTACTAGAGCTGGGCTTTAGTCCCAGTACTCTGGAGGCAGAGGCAGGTGGATCTCTGAGTTCAAGCCAGCCTGGTCTACACAGTGAGCTCTAGGCCAGCTGGGACTACAGAAAGACCCTGTCTCAAAAAGACCAAAATGAAAAAATTTTGAAAAAAGAAAACCGAATACTTAGGGGAGATGAATCTTACTATAGTTAAAATAACATCTAAGAAATTGGAAGGTGTTTTTTTTTAAAATGTTTTATCACGAAATTCTATACATTCTTAACATGCAAGCCCTCTAACAGGCAGATTTCTGTGAGTTCAAGGCCAGCCTGGTCTACATAGCAAGTTCCAGGCCAGCTGGGGCTACAGGGAGACCATCTCAAAAAGACCAACCCTCCCCACCCCCCAAAAAATGCAAGTCCTATAAAATATCTTTGAGCCGGGCGTGGTGGTGCATGCCTTTACTCCCAGCACTTGGGAGGCAGAGGCAGGCAGATCTCTGTGTTCAAGGCCAGCCTGGCACGGGGCAGAAGTTTTCGGGGAGCCCCGAGTGTCAGGGAAAGCATGCCAGGCAACAAAAAAAAAAAAAAAAAAAAAAGATAGACATTTAATCCAATCCATATACTTTCTGTGTGCAAAAATGACTTCTAACCTTTGAAATTTTAAGTGTATTAATTTTAATTTGTTTTATTTTAAAATTTATTTTATTTATTTATTTTTCTTTTTTGATCTTTTATTTTTCTTTTTTGGTCTGCACTCCAGAAGCAGAGGCAGGAGGATCTCTGAGTTCGAGGCCACCCTGCTCTACATAGTGAGTTCCAGGCCAGCTGGAGCTACAGGGAGACACTCACTCAAAAAGACCAAAAAAAAAAAAAAAAAAAAAAAAAAAAAAAAAAAGAGAGAGAGAGAGATACTAGAATCTGTTTTCTACAGAATAAAGATAAAGTTTCCCTGGTGTATCTTTACATCTTACTATCATATCTTTTTAAGTGTAAATACTTCACATATGTCCTATAGCATCTGTAATGCAAGTTTGGGGAGATGTTATGCCAAAGCCTCTTAGATAAAAATAAACATCAGCATCACTTGGTAAATATAATGAAGTATATGTTATTTTATCCTTCCAAATGTTTGTGCAAAAACTGCATCATTATCCACAGTGGTACAGCATACTTGATTTTCAAGGAACACTATACCATGCTATTGATGTTTAATTTCATTGTTGTCACTTTTGCTTGTGTCTCTTTACTCTCTCAGGTTTACTATTTAAAAGATGCACATTGCTGCTACCTACCAAGGAAAGACTGAAGTACATTCACAAGATACTCTCAGAAGTAAGATCATACTTTGGATTAGCTCACAATTTGATTTCCAGTAAAGATAATTTATCACTGATATGATATACTCATTATAAACCTTTTTTTATGTGTATGAATGTTTTGCCTCTATGTGTGTAAGTGCACTCATGTCTGCAATGCCTGTGGAGGTCAGAAGAGGGCATCGGATCCCCTGGAACTAGAGTTACAGACAGCCACCATGTGGGTGCTGGGAATCAAACCCGGGTCCTCTACAAGAGCAGCCAGTGCTCTTAACCACTAAGCCATCTCTCCAGTCTTAAACCTATCTTTTTTTTAAAAAAAGAAGATTTTAAGCTGGGCATGGTGGCACACACCTTTAATCCCAGCACTTGGGAGGCAGAAGCAGGTAGATCTCTGTGAGTTCAAGGCCAGCCTGGTCTACATAGTGAGTTCCAGGACAGCTGGGGCTACAGAGACCCTGTCTCAAAAGGACCAAAAAAAAAAAATTAGAAAGATTTTTAAAATTTTTATATGTATGAATGTTTGCCTGCCTGCATTGTATGTGTACTACATGCATGCTTAGTGCCTGAGGAGGCCAGAAGAGGACAACAGATCCCCTGGAACTGGAGTTACACATGGTTGTGAGTTGCCATGTTGTTGCTAGGGACTGAATCCAGATCTCCCGCAAGAGCAGTCAGTGCTTTTAACCATGAACTATCTCTCCAGCTCTACCTCTCTCTTTTTTTTTTAATCATTTAAAAAAAATTTTAAATTTTATGTGTATGCAAGTATTGCCTGCATGTAGGTAGTGCACCCGTGAGGTGCAATGCCAGCAGAGGACAGAAAAGACTGTCAGATCCCCTGGGACTGGAATTACAGATAGTTGTTAGCTGCCATGTGGGTACTGGGATTCAAACCCAAGTCTTCTGCAAAAACAACCAGTGTTGTTAACCACTGAACCATCACTCCAGCCCTCCCCTTTTAAGATTTATTTACTTAGTTATTTGTTGTTGTTGTTGTTGTTCTTGTTGAGACAGGATCTCCCTGTAGCCCCAGCTAGCCTGGAACTTACTACCTAGACCTTGCCAGCCTCAATCTCACAGAGATCCACTTGCCTCTGCCTCCTGAGTGCTGAGATTTACTTTAGTTTTTATTTTATGTGTGTGAGTGTTTTGCCTACATGTATGTAAGTGCACCCCGTCATGCAGTGCCCACAGAGGCCGGAAAAGGGCATCAGATCCAGGAACTGGAGTTGTAGATGGTTGTTAACTGCCATGTGGGTGTTGGGATTCAAACCCAGGTCTTCTGCAAGAGCAGCCAGTGCTCAACCACTGAGCCATCTCTTCAGCCTCTATTTTATTTTTTTATGGTGTCACACAATTCTTGCATATTCCATTCTTGTGTTTTCTTACATTTTTCATAATCTTTGCTTGAGTGGTCTAGTTCATCCACTTTATCTTCCAGTCTTGATGTTCTGTTTTCCATTTCATTCATCCTATTGGTGAGGCTTTCTCCTGTCATTTCTAATTGGCTTACTGAGTGCTTCACTTCCTTCTTCATTTCAGCCTGAGTATTCTTCAATATTTCTAACTCTTCTGAATTCATTCAGAAGTTTATCCCTGTCTTCCTTCAGTTCTTTGATTTCTTTATTTGTGTGTTCTTTAAATTCACTGACTTCTTTTATCATGTTTATAATTGTTCTTTTGAGTTCCATGTCCTGTGTTATTTCTAGGAAGTTCTCGTTGTACTCCTCTAGAGGACTATTGGTACTTGGTGGGGATATATTATTTTGGCTTTTCATGTTATTATTTTTTCTCTGTGACTTTGACATGTGAATTTCTTTCATAGTTTCTGATTCTTGTGTGAGACTCAAGCCTTCCTTTGTTGAGTTTAGATCTGCTTCTTTTTGTAAACTTTATGTGCCTTTGTGGCTTACTTGTTGGGCACGAAAAGCTGGTTGGTCTAGGCTTCAGGTTCTCTCTTTTGATTTTGTATTGGAGTGGCCTAATTGCTTTTGTCTTCAGGAGTTCCCACAAAGGCCCAAGTGAGATGAGGCTCAGATGTTCTTAGGCTTTCTCATAAGGTCTGGGTCCCTCCAGGAAAGATGCTGCCCTCAGGAATTTGGGGGCTGGGCTGGCCTGGGAGAAGGGCCCAGGATAGATGCTGGTCTCAGGAAGCTGGTGGCTGTGCTATCCAGGGAAGTAAAGGGAAGTGAGGGTGGGACCAGGCTCAGAGGGTTCCTGAGGGCCACAGGGAGGAACTGCATTGGTCTGGATGCAAAGGATCGGGAAGCTGTGGTGACTCTGGGCCGAGAGGTTAGCCCCAGTGTCTGGGGTGCCAAGATAAGAAATGGGCCTGTACCCGGGCTAGGAGGAGAGACACGGTGGGGGAGTTGGGAGGGTGAAAGAGGCTGGGGGAGTCAAGGCTTGATGAGCATGCCGGACTTACCCAGGGAAGGTGCTGGCATGAGGACTGGAGGTTGTGCAGCCCAGGAAGTAAAGGGAGGTGAGGGCTGGACCAGGCCCAGAAGGCTCCTGGGGACCACAGGGAGGAACTAGGTTGGTCCGGATGCAAAGGATTAGGAAGCAGTGGTGGCTCTGGGCTGAGAGGTTAGTCCCGGTGTCTGTGGTGCCGAGACAAGAAATGGGCCTGTACCCAGGCTAGGAGGAGAGACGTTCAGGGGAGCTGGGAGGATGAAAGAGGTTAGGGGCATCAAGGCGTGATGGGCGCACTGGACTTACCCAGGAAAAGTGCTGGGACCAGAACACTGGAGGCTAGGCAGCCTAGGGAAATAAAGGCAGCCTCTATTTTTTAAAAAAATATTTTATTTATTCTAATTTGTATATGTATGAGTATATTGCCTGCATGTATATATAAGTGCACCCATGTCTTGCAATGCCCATGGAGTTCAGAAGAGGGCATCAGGTCCCCTGGAATTTGAGTTACAAACAGTTGTTAGCCGCCATGTGGGTGCTGGAAATTGAACATGGTCCTCTGCAAGAGCAGCCAGTGCTCCTAACTACTGAGCCATTTCTCCAGCCCCCCTTTTTAGTTTTTAATGTGTGTGTGTGTGCATGTGCATTGTGGGTGCCCACTGAGACTAGAACAGGGTATTACATCTCCCTGAAGTTATAGTTACAGGTGGTTGTGAGCTACAGGATATGGGTGCTGAGATCTGAACTCAGGTCCTCTTACAAATGCAGCAAGTCCTCTTAACTGCTGAGTTATCTTTCTGGCTCCTAAAACTATCCTTAATTAATATAATTTCATGAATTAGTACTAAAAATTGATCAGTGATAATCTAATATTTTACTAAATACTCAAAGATTTATATCCTCACCCACGCCCGGCAACAACTCATAATTTTAACATTGTATGCCATTCTGAGAAGTGTTATCTCTCATCCTGGTCATCCCACCTGGGATATAAAGTATCACTTTGTCCAGTGTGTGCACACTGTACATGCTGCTCCCCATTAGTTGCTTAGTAGCTATCTGTTATTAGCCATTATCATCAGATCCATTCTTGTATCACAGTACTCATATTCAGGTAAACCCTGTTTTACTTAATAATGGCCTCAAAAGGGAAGAGTAATGATGTCAATTTTATTACAATTTATTATTTATAATTATTATATAATTTATTATAATTAGTAGTTATTATTAACCTCTTTCTATGCCTAATTTATAAATTAAGCATTTCCCTGGTGTGGTGGCACATGCCTTTCATCCCAGCACTCAGGAAGCAGAGACAGGCAGATCTCTGTGAGTTTAAGGCCAGGGACCAAATAGACAGGCTTGTGAGGCAAGCAGTTTACCTGCTGAACCATTTATTTCATAGATTTAAAAGTTGTTCTAATACGGTGATTTAGGAGCTGAGGATGTAGCTTAGTTGGTAGAGTGCTTGCTTAGCATGATTTGATCCTCAGTACCTCATAAGTCAGGTGTAGTGGCACAGGTCTGTAATCCCAGCATTAGGGGGACCAAGGCAGGAAGATCACAAGTTCAAGGTTATCCTCAGCTACATGGTGATCAAGGCAGAGGCCTGAGGATCAGAAGTTCAAGGTCATCTCTGCTCCATAGCTAGTTCATGGCTAGCCCAGGGCTACATGAGACTTTGCTCAAAAAAAAAGTGATGATTGAGAACATTTTATTAAAACAAAGTAATTTCCAAATGTTAAAATCTTTTCATTTAAAACCAGGCATGGTGGCACACACCTTTAATCCCAGCACTCCGAGGTAGAGGCAGGCAGATCTCTGTGAGTTCAAGGCCAGCCTGGTCTACATAGTGAGTTCCAGGACAACTGGGACTACAGGGAGACCTTGTCTTAAAAAAAAAATCTTTTCTTTTCATTTAAATGTACAAAAACAGGAAAGACTTGGGACTTTTGCTTTGTTTTGTTTTGTCTTACGGTGCTGAGGATAGAACCCCAGGGCCTCGTGTATGTTAGGCACATGATCTACTCCTGAGCTACACTCTCATCTAGGAAAATATTTTTTCTCTGTGTGTGCATGTATGCTCATGTGTGTGCATGTTGAAGTCACAGGTTGATATGAGGATGTCTTTTTTGATTATCTGTCTGATCTAATCGATCTATCTGCATCTCTTTCCTTCCTTTCTTCCTTCCCTCCTTCTTCCTTCCATCCATCCTTCCTTTCCTTCCTTCCTTCCTTCCTTCCTTCCTTCCTTCCTTCCTTCTTTCTTTCTTACAGGATCTTACTATGTAGACCAACCTGACCTCAGATTCACAGAGATCTACCTGCCTCTGCCTCCCAAGTACTGGTATTAAAGGCATGTGTCACCAAACCTGTTCTCAGCCTTATTTTTTGAGACAGAATCTCTCACTGAACCTGGAACTCAAAGCTGGCTATTTCAGCTAGACTGGCCAACCAGTGAGCCCCGGAGATCTGTCTATTCCCAACCCTTCCAGCACTGGGCTTACAGGTGCATATTACCATACTCTGATGTTTTTACATGGATGTTGGGGATCCAAACTTGAACCCTAATGCATTTTACCAGCCTCTGGAAAATACTTTTAATGTATAATATGACAAATCTTTATGATATATACTTGAATGTATACCCATGTATTTGGACATAATTACTATATAGGACTGAGTTTTGCTACACAAATCCAAACATACATTCAATCTGATTGTTTAGTTCTATGTTCCATAGAATACAAACTTCTCATGCCCTGTTTTCCATGTTGTCTTTGCACTGAGATTTGGTCTACTTATTGCAACAGTTTCTCAGATGATCATTCCGTCACTCATCATACTTTAACTCATCAAATCATTCTGTGTACCATTGGAAGGTCATACCCTCTTCAAAACATCCTCGTTCATCAAGATAGCTTTTCTACTTAAAAACCTTTTAGTGACTATTCAGTTTCAGCAAAATAAGACCCCAAGTTCCACAGCTGGTATTTTGGGTTCTAGCTAGTTTAGATTGGCCTCTACCTTGCTGTCCATCCCTGCCTATCCTCCCTAATGCTGAGATTATGGGCTTTTGCCACCAATAAACCTAATCACTTCCAAGTTTTTTCTTTTCCCTATTTTCACACTGTCCAATATGATATTTATTCAGTCATTCTAACAATTACACCCATATTCTGACTTTAATTGATGTGGTGGCCCCACGCCTTCCCATGGTGAAGATCAGCCCAGGGCCTTGTACATGCTAGGCAAGTGCTCTGCCACTGAGCTACTGCCCCAACCCATCATAGAAATTTCACATGTGTATATATTATTCTCCTAAATAAATTGTGAGCCCCTTGAGGGCACAGTCCTTTTTTCATACTTCTTTTTTATTTTTATTTTTATTATTTTTTTAAATTTTATTTTATGTGTATGAGTGTATTGCCTGCATGTATGTGAGTGCACCCATGTCATGCAGTGCCACAGAGGCCAGAAGAGGGCACCGGATTCCTGTGGAACTGGAGTTAAGGACGGTTCATAACCACCATGTGGGTGCTGGGACTCGAACCCAGGTCCTCTGCAAGAGCAGTCAGTGCTCTTAACCACTGAGCCATCTCTCCAGCCTCCATACTTCTTTTTAAATCTCCATATGTGTAACAGTGATAACCAGAATATAAACTGAAAAAATTACTAATTATTGTGTATTTCCATTAAATGTGAATGTCAAGTTATTGTACAGATTCACTGAAAATGAAGAATTAACAGTTGCTCTCTCTACAGGTTTCCTGTTTTAAATTCAGCGGCTGTACAACTCCTTTGCAGTGTTTAGGATTATCATGTTATGGCATGCTTTTACAGGTACATTATTTATTTATTTATTTATTTATTTGTTTATTTATTTATTTTTAACCTTTTTGAGACAGGGTCTTCCTGTAGCCCCAGCTGTCCTGGAACTCACTATGTAGACCAGGCTGGCCTTGAACTCACAGAGATCCGCCTGCCTCTTCCACCCGAGTGTTGGGATTAAAGGTGTGTGCCACCATTCCCAGTTTATAGGTACATTGTTTAATGAAAGAATAAAGGAATAAGTAGAGCATGGAATCCCTGTATACATTAATAGAAGCTACAATAATCTTAAATAAAGCTACCACACCTAGCTAATGCATTATTCTAATGGAATGTTTGCCAACCCATTTCTTCTTTTTGTTTTTGTTTTTTTGTCTTTTTGAGACAGGGTCTCCCTCTAGCCCCAGATCTGACCTGTGTAGACCAGGCTGGCCTTGAACTCACAAAGATCTGCCTGCCTCTGCCTTCCAAGTGCTGGACTAAAGGTGTGTGCCACCACACCTGGCCTCTTCTTTGTTTGGTTGGGTTTTTTTTTCGGGGGGGAGTCTTTTTGAGACAGGGTCTCTCTGGAGCCCCAGCTGTCCTGGAACTCACTATGTAGACCAGGCTGGCCTCAGACTCACAAAGATTCACCTTCTTCCAGCCTCCCAAGTGCTGGGATTAAAGATGTGCGCCACCACGCCCGGCTGTTTTTTTAACTAGTAAGAAATATTTAACATTTAGTCTATACCAGTGTGCTCAAACTTTCTGACCATTTTGGTTTTTTTAATTTTTCTGGTGATTTGGGGATTGAACTCAGGTCCTTAAGCATGCTAGACAAGCACTCTACCACTGAACTACATCCCAAACCTTTAGCAATTGAAAAGACTAGAGGTGGTGTATGTGTAAATGTGTTTATGAATTAAACTCTTGGACTAGTTTTTCAAAGTGTGATTTTAGAAGCAGCACATTATTTCAAGAATTTTTTAAAATAATCTCTTATAATAAACAAGATAAAAATGATGTTACCATTTATTAAATTAAGCCTTTTACTATGTGCCAGACATTGTCCTAAACAGTTTATGTTTGTTATCTAATCTAAAACTTGCAGCCACCGTATGCTCCTTCAACATCTCTTAGAGACTACCCCTGAGAGAATCTCCTGCTGTATCCAGGCTGTAAGCTGCCAGCTCCCACACACCCAAATTCCAGGACCTCCTACTAACCCTCTTCCAAGAAGATTTTTACTTTTTCCCTTTTTTTTTTTTTTTTTTTTACTTTTTATCTTTGGATTAAGTAATACATACATATACATGTAAAATTCAAAAGAACAAAATCTACAAAGTGAAAAATCTCCCTTTCAGGACTGTCACCCACCTACTGGCTTCTTTTCACCAGAAATACCCAGTGTTTTGGTGCTGGCATTGAAGAATAATTTTCTTAAATTTATTTCTTTTTATTTATTTATTTTTATTTTTTTATTTTTTTGTCTTTTTGAGACAGGGTCTCCCTGTAGCCCCAGCTGTCCTGGATTCACTATGGAGACCAGGCTGGCCTCAAACTCACAGAGATCTGGCTACCTCTGCCTCCTGAGTGCTGGGATTAAAGGTGTGTGCCACCATGCTCAGCTGTTTCTTTTTATTTTATATGTATGAGTGTTATGCCTGTATGTGTGTAAGTGTACCCATGTTGTGCAGTGCCTACAGAGGACAGAAGAGGGCATCAGATCCCTTGGAACTGGAGTTATAGACATCTGTTAGCCACCATCTGGGTGCTGGGATTTGAACCTGGGTCCTCTGAAAGAGCAGTCAATGCTCTTAACTGCTGAGTCATCTCTCCAGTCCCTGAAGATTAATTTTTTAGATATATTTTGTGTGTATGTATGTAGGTCAGAGGACTATTTGTGGGAGTTGTTTTTCCTACCATGTAGATTCTGCACCTTTTCTTGCTGACCCATCTTGCTGTCCCAGTAAGTTAATTTTTTTTTTTTTTTTTTTGGTCTTTTTTTGAGACAGGGTCTCCCTGTAGCCACAGCTGGCCTGAATTCACTTTGGAGACCAGGCTGTCCTTGAACTCACAGAAATCTACTGTCTTCTACCTGGGATTAAAGGTGTGCACTACCACACCCAGCTCAGAAGATTAAGTTTTAAAATATTTTATTATTTTTATTTTATGTGTATGAGTGTATTGCCTGCATGTATGTGAGTGCATCTATGTCATGCAATTTTCACAGAGTGAGAAGAGGGTGTTGGATCCCCTGGAACTGGAGTTAAAGATGGTTGTTAGCTGCCATGTGGGTGTTGGGAACCAAACCTGGGTCCTCTGCAAGAGCATCCAGAGTTCTTAACCACTGAGCCATCTCTCTAGCCCTTCAGAAGATTATTTTTGTTTTGTTTGTTTTCTTTTGTTTTTTTGTTTTCTGAGACAAGGTTTCCCTGTGGCTCCAGCTGGCCTGGAACTCCTATATAAACCAGGTTGGCCTTAAACTCACTAAGATCTGCCTGCTTCTGCCTCCAAACTGCTGGGATTAAAGGTGTGCCCTACTATACCTGGCTTAGCTACAGAAGATTAATTTTTAAATTTTTTTAATTAAATTTTTGTGTATTTCATACATAAATTGTCTTCTTTTTTTTTTTGTCTTTTTGAGACAGGGTCTCCCTATAGCCCCAGGTGTCCTGGAACTCACTATGTAGACCAGGCTGGCCTCAAACTCACAAAGATCCACCTGCCTCTGCCTCCCAAGTGCTGGGATTAAAGGCATGCACAGCCACACCTGGGTATAAAATTGTCTTTATACCCTCTTCCCCCCTCCCCTTTGGCACTCTCCCATAGCCACGCACATATACTGGAGTTCATACCTTCTATCATTTGTATCAAGGCCTATTATGTAAAGTTAGTGTCCCAAGATGTCCCTCAATGCAAGTTCATCCACCAGAGTTTAATCAGCCTATCTAGAGTCTCTCCCTTCAAGATCAGCTGTTCCTCACCCAGCAGTAATCAGCTGCCAATAACTCTTTGACTAAGATTGGGCTTGCTGTTCATTTCCACAGTTCCGTGCTGGATTTTTGTCTGCCTAAGTTTGCATGGGTCTTGTGCATGCTGACACCATTGCTGTAGGTTTGTATGAGAAGGGTCCCAAGGTGCCTGTAGGACTATTTCCATATGCTCATGCACCTCCTCCCTAGCTCTTACAGTCTTTCTGCCTCCTCTTCCCCAATGGTCCCTGAGCCCTGGGTGGGTGGACCTCAATATAGGAATCCTGTCCAAGGACATACACTCCACCGACTCTTATTCTCTACTTTTTGGCTACTTGTGCCTTTTGTGTTCCTGGCCCTCTGTTGCATGAGGGAGCTTCTTTGATGTGAATTGAAAGATACATTTAGTGTTCTCTTCATCCCTTGTTCTATGTTCCATGAATCTTAGGTATAGCGGGTACACCCTAGATGTACCACTTGGGCAATTCAAAGAGAATCTCTGTGTGTGACTAACCCTGTAATAATCTCTGTCTGTTGAAAAAGAAGCTACTTTTTCACCCAGTGGGTGGTGACTGGGGTACTTGTCTGTACATTTAAGGATCCATATTTTGCACATAGTAAGAAATTGCATTAGTCTAGGGAAATGACAGCCTTGGGGTTTTCTCTAAGATCTATGTGTATTTGGCTAGGTTTACAGTACCAGACATGAATTTCCTCCCATTGAGTGGGCTTTAAGTCCAATTAGGTAACTGTTGATTACCCACAAGATAAAAGTGCCACTATTGCACCAATGCATTGCTGTGCTGGTTATTGATGTGGTTTTTAGGCCTTGAAGGTAGGGATGGACCATTGATTTATGTGCTCCCTTACCAACTTTCGTAGTACTCTCCAAAGCTATGAGAGCGAGCCTTCAGGCGTGGTGGCTTCCAGGTCAGTTCCAGCTCCATTGCTCCAAATCCTGAGTCCAAAGTATGTGTTGTCTTCAGTAATAGGGTATTACCATCAAGTTCTGGGAGGCAATCAAGGACTGTAGCAATACCTTGTATAATTTTGGGAGTCTCTTGGACTACCCTGGCCAACAACTCAAAGGAAGGTTTCTCCTGTCTGGCTGGCACTGTTTCTTGTTAGGTAGTCTTCAGCTATACTCACAGACTCATGTAGGGATATTATATGTGTAATTTTTCAGTAGGTTTTTGGAGTAATACCCTATGGCTTTTTATATTAGCTAGGCACTATTTATGTCTCCTCTTTCTCTCCCTGTCTTATCCTCCCTCCCTACCCTTCCCATTTAAAGTATTCCCATTTTCCCCATTTCTCCCCTGATAATTTTTGTATACTATGGTCCCACCTCTTTTGAGCTCCTTCATTGCCTTTATTCCCATAGTTCTTTGTATAGCCCTCCTTCTCCTCCTCCCTTTTAACTACCCCCTTTTTACACATTTCTCCCTTAGTAACACCTATCTCCTACTATTCTCTCTTGAGTTCCTTCTTTCCCTTTACCTCCCTGGTTTCCTTCCATTTTTCTGGTTCCTACAGTTACATCAGGGTGTGCACTCATAAGGATTTGGTGCTAGGACCCACAAATGAGGAGGAACATACGTCTTTCATTTTTCTGAGTCTGTTACTTCACTTAGTATAACAGTTTCCAGATCCATCATTTACCTGCAAATTTCATTATTTCATCTTTCTTTACTGTTGAGTAGAACTCCGTTGTGTAAATGTACCACATTTTCATTAATCACTCATCAGTTGAGGAGCGCTTAGGTTACTTCCATCTCTTAGCTACTTTGAAAAGGTTGTACAAGTATCTCTGCAATAGGATGAGTCCTTTGGGTATATGCCAAGGAGTGGTATAGCCGGGTCATATGGTAGGTTCATGTTTAGTTTTTAAGAGTTCTCCACACTGCTTTGCATAGGGGTTACACAAGTTTGCAATCCCACCAGCAGTGAATGAGCATTCCCCTTTCTCCACATCCTCACCAGCATTTGGTATTATTTGTTCTCTTGATCTTAGCCAGTCTGATTGGGGTAAGGTGATACCTTAGGGTGGTTTTAATT